GGCCAGATTCAGCATTAAAAGGATCCACAGCACTAGTCCTCTTTTATTGGTATCAAAGCAAGATATAGTTGTTATATTTCCATCAACTTCATTCTGATAAAATTCTGGACCTTATTCCAAAGGTCAAGTTTCAATGGGGAGAACTTCTGCGTAGAGATGCTGTGATATCCAGGTCACACCCCACACACCCCTTCAGAAGATAAAGAAACAGCTTCAGCCAGTCAGGCAGCAGAATTACCTTCCATCTGCAGTTTTAAAAAGTATAAACACACACAGGGTCCTACTGCATAGGGCTATAGGGCTGCAGGGCTGAAGACCCTTGCTGGTTGAGGGTACAAGTTAATCAGATGCATTAGGAGCAACAGGAAAAGGTCTAAAAGAGGGGCTGGGGATATAGCTCAGTTGGTAGAGTGCTTGCCTTACATGCACAAGGCCCTGGGTTCAATTCAATTCCCAGCACCCACCCCCCCACACACACACAAAAAAAAAAAAAGTCTAAAAGAGAAGTACTTTTAGGGACTCAAAATACAATGCAAACGTTATGTAAATRGTTGTGTAGAATGCACTCATAGGGAATAATGACAAGAAAAAGTTTAAACAAGTTCAGTACATGTATAAACTTCAATTCCTTTTAGAGCATTTTTGATCGAGATTGACCTTATCGGTGGATGTGGAGCTCGTGGACACAGGGGGCAACTATATTCTATAGTGGTGGATGATGCTAGTTAATAAAAGCTTCAGTTATCAAAAACTGAAACTAAAATCAAACCAAAACTTTCACAATGTATTTCTGCTTAGGAATTAAGCTCTAAAAGCATACACAGCAACCAAGAGTTGAGTTTAAACAGGTTGAGGGTTTGTTTGTTTTTCTTGTACTTGGGACTGAACCCAGGGGTGCTCCATACACAGAGCTATAGCCCCAGCCCTTTTCATTCTTTCATTTTTGAGACAGGCTCTTCCTAAATTGTGGTTGTCTTGCCTCAGTCTCCAAAGTTGCTATTACGGTTCTGAAAATGGACACTTAAAAACAAACTTTGGCCTTTTCCCCCTTCCCCTCCCCTCATGGGGTTGTCTTGTGCTCCCCATTTTGGAACCACTGCCCTGGTTGGCCTTGGAAGATTTACAGGTACATCTGGTTTCTGTTTTTAAGTGGTACTCTGAAGGTAGATCCTTGACTTCCCGAAAAAACTAAATTAGCCAGACCAACCTAGACCCCCAAGGTCTGGCAATCTCATCCACTCTGGATCTCCCGCTGTCACTCCCAAATTCCAACTCTTCAGTTTTGTTTATTTTTTCCTCCTCCCCTGAGATAGGGTCTTACTGTGTTGCCCAGGCTGGCCTTGAATGCCTGGGCTCAAGTGGCCCTCTGGCCTCAGCCTCCCCAGTAGCAGGGACCTCAGGTGAGTGCTGCCATGCCCCATCCCAGCTCTGCAGTTGCCAGGCATTCCAGTAGTCCAAAAAACCAATGTTGATTTATCCTCTCTAGCTCTTCTTGCTCCCAAGTGGCAAATCTGCACTCTGTCAAATTTAAACTTCTAAAATCATCTTCTGTCTCTTCTTTATCCCATGTCAGAGCCAAACAGGACATGAGACTTGGCATCTTGAAATGGCTCCAATCTCCCGCTGTCCATTCCCATTCCATCCTGGACTCCGCACACACACCACCCTTCCCAATAACTGAAGCCTCCATCATTTCACTCCCTTGCTCAAAAATCTTTAGAAGCTTCCAAGGCCAACCTGGGCAGTGGTTCCAAAGTGGGGAGCACCAAGAGGGGAAGGAAAGGGGGAAAAGGCCAAAGTTTGTTTTTATTTTCATTTAACAAATAGAGAATTAAACGTTACTAAGGATCAAACTGATCTGGTGCCCTTGCCAGTGGTCCTTAAATGGATTAGCTCAGCGTGGGGGTAGAGGGAGGGAGAAGGGACAGGACTTCCTCACTCAGGTCTTTGCTTTCACTATGCTAAGATGTTCCTCTTTGTACAATAAGTCACCAACTTAATATATACAAAAGCACAGTTCTTAAGTAGTGGGATCTCCACAATGCAATGGAGGAAGACCTTCAGGATCACAGTGGTTACTTACCCTTGTTTTTGTAACAGTGTCTTCCACACCTGACTTTGCTGGGCATAGTGTCTATCAACAGCACCCTGATTAGCAATGGTCCTGAAAATTGATACAGGGGACCTCGGTCTTTACTTACACGACTCTGCTTTATACTGCAAGTCTGCCATGGTTTGTTTTTGAATTTCTACTATGTGTTTGTATTATAATGTATACATTAGTATGTCTATGTACAAATAGATACATTGACACTGTATGTTTATTTATTTTTTTTACTATTGAGGATACCAGATCCAAAGTCTGGAGACCAAGGTGCTGTGCCTTAGGTTCGAGCCCACCTTTCTGCTTTACTCAACTGCCTTTCTAGCATCTCCACCTCTATGTCCAACTGGCATTTTTTTTTTTAAATGTTGGTCGTTCAAAACATTACATAGTTCTTAATACATCATATTTCACTGTTTGATTCAAGTGGGTTATGAACTCCCAATTTTACCCCGTATACAGATTGCTGTATCACATCAGTTACCCTTCCATTGATTGACATATTGCCTTTCTAGTGTCTGATGTATTCTGCTGTCTGTCCTATTCTCTACTATCCCCCCTCCCCTCCCCTCCCCTTTTCTCTCTCTACCCCTTCTACTGTAAATCATTTCTTCCATTTGTAGTATCTTGTCTTACCCCTCCTTTCCTCTTATATGTCATTTGTATAACCCTGAGGATCGGCTTCCATTTCCATGCGATTTCCCTTCTCACTTCCTTTCCCTCCCACCTCTCATCCCTGTTAATGTAAATCTTCTTCTCAAGCTCTTCGTCCCTACCCTGTCCTTGTTTACTCCCCTTATATCAAAGGAGTCATTTGGTATTTGTTTTTTAAAGATTGACTAGCTTCACTTAGCATAATCTGCTCTAATGCCATCCATTTCCCTCCAAATTCTACGATTTTGTCATTTTTTAATGCAGAGTAATACTCCATTATGTATAAATGCCACATTTTTTTTATCCATTCATCTATTGAAGGGCATCTAGGCTGATTCCACAATCTTGCTATCGTGAATTGTGCTGCTATGAACATCGAATAGACCGAGAAGGGGAATAGCTGGGTCAAATGGTGGTTCCATTCCCAGCTTTCCAAGAAATCTCCATACTGCTTTCCAAATTGGCTGCACCAATTTGCAGTCCCACCAGCAATGAACAAGAGTGCCCTTTTCCCCCGCATCCTCTCCAGCACTTATTGTTGTTTGACTTCCTAATGGCTGCCAATCTTACTGGAGTGAGATGGTATCTTAGGGTAGTTTTGATTTGCATTTCTCTGACTGCTAGCAATGGTGAGCATTTTTTCATGTACTTATTGATTGATTGTATGTCCTCCTCTGAGAAGTGTCTGTTCAGGTCCTTTGCCCATTTATTGATTGGGTTATTTGTTATCTTATTGTCTAATTTTTTGAGTTCTTTGTATATTCTGGTTATTAGGGCTCTATCTGAAGTGTGTGGAGTAAAGATTTGTTCCCAGGATGTAGGCTCCCTGTTTATCTCTCTTATTGTTTCTTTTGCTGAGAAAAAACTTTTTAGTTTGAGTAAGTCCCATTTGTTGATTCTAACCAACTGGCATTTTTAACTCAATTTAAAACCAAGCTTCTCAATCTTTCCACACCCAAACCTACTCTCTTCTAGAAGTCTTGCCCATCTCAGCAAATACCAACTCCAAGGACCCAAACTTAGGTGTCATCTGTGATTCCAGTTTCTCTTGAAGACCCCATACAACCAACAATCAGCAAATCCCACTCACTCCAGTCAAAAAATATCCCAAACCTAGCAACCTTTTACCATCTCCACAGATGTTACCCAGAGCACAACTCTTAATCTGTCATTCTCCCTTGACCTGTTCTTAAAATGGGAGCAAGAACAAGTCATTGCTATGCTCAAAGATCCTCGGGTTGTGGTCCCATTTTCAAGAGAACGCAACATTTTTTAAGACCTGCTATTCTCTTCATTGCCCTCCCTGGAATTACACTGGTTCCTCATATTCTCAAACATCTTAGGCACCCCACTCTCATCCCAGGGCTTCAGAATATTCTTTCTTTCTTCCTTCCTGTCACCACAACTCAGGGGTGCTCTCCCACTCTACCACTGAGCCACATCCCCAGCTGTTTTTTATATTTTGGGACAGGGTTTCACTAAATTGCTCAGGCGCCCTCAAACTTGCAATCCTCCTGCCTCAGCCTCCTGAATAGCTAGAATTACAAGTGTGAACCACCATGCCTGGCCCTGGAATCTCTTTCTATATGTAATCTCGGATTCTTTTGAGGCTTTACTCAAATGTCACATTCTGGGTGACACTTACCCTGGCTGATCTAAAATCACAACCTTCTTCCTTGACAATCCCTCCTCTCTCTGCTTTTTTCTTCTGTGCTCGTCACCAAGATACTTTATAATGTGGGATATGACAAAAGTAAGTAAAATGTATAGTAAAGTCCATGAGGACAGGTGTTTTGTTCTCTSCTCTTATTTCTAGTGCTTAGGCTCAATGCCATCAAAATTCAATCCTTTTGGGCTAGGTGTGTAGCTCACTGGTAAAGCGCTTACCTAACATGCACTGGGTTCAATCTCTAGCACCTGCAAAAGGAAAAAAAAAAAAAAAAACAAAAAAAAAACACCACTCTGCCCCCACTTAGGTTCTTCCTGCTTTACCTTTGCCCAGCTGTCCCTCCCCTACTCCTCAGCATCAATCTTCATTACCTCCACCTGTCATAAGTTAACTCATTGCTGGCTCATCTAGGTGCCACTTCTCACTCAATCTTGTTAGGCCTTACAGGATCCAGCATACTCAATATGCTTATTTGTGTCTTTATTTTTCTAATGAATTAACTGTATGGGAAACCGAAATACATAGTCTAAATAAGAAATGTAAAATCAACTCCCATTAGTAATCACCTTTTGGTTGTGATACTTAAGAGGAAACACAGGCATCTCCTGGATTCACAAATTTTGGCTGTATTAGATTCATTGGGAGCACTTGGTGAAGATAGAGGTTCACGGTTCTACCCTCCTTAATGAGCTACTTTCAGGTAATTCTGATCTCACCAGAGTATGAGAACCACCCTCCTAGAAGATGGCTAAAAATAGTTTAGGCTCAAGTGGTCCTAGGCCAAGTCAAGCGGCGTCAAGACACCTGGGGGACAGGCACAGTCTCTCCAAAGCAGGGAGGACCCTTCAAAATGGTTCTTAGGAGCAGAGCAGAATGCTCAGACTGTTTGAGGGAAGGTCCACTGGCAGTCATTAGGAGCGCTGAGTAACCAACCTTGGCCCAGGTCGATATCCTTCAGCCTGCTTACTATGGAGTCAGTACTACACGTTGTTTCTCTCCCTCACACTCAACTCACACAGATCGTGCAAAGAGGAGGACATTACTTGTCAAAGCCATGGGAAGTTGCATAAAAACGTAAGTTACTTCCGGACCTTCTCAAAGCACACAGGCCAAGAGCGCACCCTCTGGGGACCTGGGGGGCAAGCTGGGGGAGCTCTGCGAAGCACACCCTCCTGAAGCCGGGTCACCTTGCCCGCTCCAGGGCTTTCTCCCTGCACTTCCCGCCCGGCGTCAGCGCTGGCTCACTGCGCCACGGCTTCCAGCTGGTGCCGGGCGGCCCTGCTGGGGCCCGAGGTGGCCTGCAGGGTCGGAGACACGCACAAGCCCGTGACGCGCGAGGCCGGGCCGGGGTCACGGCCTGCAGGCCGCCTCTCTTCGGGTCTACCTGGGCTGAGGTGCTGAAGCTCCGGCGGAGAGCGGCGCCGGCGGGCCGGGCGAGGGCGGAGAGCATGGCTGGGGCGGGCGGAGCGCAGACCGGCACGCACTGGAGCTGGCAGGGAGCAGATGACTCCAACGACCTCCACACTGCACTGAGCCCGCCGCCCGGCTCCGTTCCTCCGGGCCTCGCGAGAGCGCCCGACTTCCGGTCACGCCCACCTCCGGGATCTCGCGATATCGCGACCATTTCCGGGCTGCGGGGAGGAAAGCTGGGTGACGAGTCTGGCTACTCTGGTGTTTGGCTGTGCCTGGCTGTGCCTTGCTGTGCCTCAGGGCCCGCGTGGCCAGTGGGGGAGCCGCGGTTGGAGTGGGAGGGGGAGTCCGCTCCCGAGAGGTGGAAGAGGACGGGCTCACGCTGGGAGCGCCTTAGAGGAGCCGTTTTCCAGGTGGGGCTCCACACAGGCCCCGACAGCCAGCCTGGGCGCGGTGGCGCAGCAGGTCAGGCGGAGTGTGTCCTGGACCCGAGTCCCCGACCTCCACCGATCTACCCCTCTTGACCCTGGAGCGAGACGGGAGGGGGCTCTGAGCGAGGCAAAGCGGGAGGGCAGGGGAGGGGAGGGGAGACCGAGAGTCCCGAGGCGGAGTGGGCATCAGTTCACCTCCGTGCACCTGCCCTCAGATTGCACAGGTTACCTTTTTTTTGTTGTTGTTACCTTACGAGTAACAAAACTTCACGGACTCTGCTACGAATAGTAGCGAACCTTAGTACTGACCACAGTCCTGTGTTGCAGAGGAAATGGACACAGAGACTAGCACAGTCATCCAACCCGCAGTGTTTTCTTCTTTACAATTAAGCTACCCGAGCTTAKGTGGATTTGCTGTTTACCCAAACAGAAAGCAGAACTAGGGTTCCTGCTCACAAGGAATTGTCATTTTAAAATTATAAGGTTCACCCACCCCTCCAACACACACAATCATTTCTATTTTCTGGGCATGCAGAGATGTCTCAGGCATRGTCTTGGCCTTCAAAAAGTTAGTCAAGTGGGGCAGGTACGTGTGGGCTAATGACTGAGTCTGCTTGGGGACAGTGGTTGGGAATCAGAACATAGTAATACGAAGGAGTTCGTGAGGGCTGCCTTACTCTTTCCTTTCTCCGGTTATTTGGTGAACTATTTARATGTGTGGACTTGGTGTTGGACTTGGACAGGTGTTGGACATTCACCTAAGAACAAGATCCATAAGTTTTTCTGTCTTCAAGGTGTTCAAGAGTAGAAATAGGTCAATCACAAGCAGCAATTTGGGCAATAGTAGGAGAATTTATGCGGTGTTGTGGGAACACTGAAGGTGCAGCTAACCCAGAACTGGGGTGGGGCTGTATAAGAGGACCTTCCAGAAGATAAGCCGACTAACATGAGACATGCCAGAAAAGGAGGCAGTACTCTATTGGAATGTTCAACCCCAGAGGAGGGAGAGTTCCCTTGACTGGGAATCAGTCTCAAAGAAGTGCTGGGCTWTTAACTATGGGAAGTGGATAGACAAGGAGAAGGAGGGAAAAAAGACCCCAGTGGGAAAACTTAAAGAAGGAAAGCATGATCCTGTGTTCAGGGTGACAGACAGTTTCTGTTGGAGTGGAGACTTGAGAGCAGGCAGTATCTTTGATCTTATCACTGTGTTCTCTGGTAATTATTTACTCTCTATCTTGCCACTAGAAATGAGATCACTTTGGGGTTGGGAACTGTGTCTTTCATCTGTCTATTGAGCCARGAGTGGTGGCATAGGCCTGTAATCCCAGCTTCTTGAGCCTGGGGAAGAAGGATCATGAATTTGAGGCCAGCTTTGGCAACTCAGATCCTGTCTCAAAAAATAAAGAGGGCTGGGGATGTGGCTCAGGGGTTGAGCACTACTGGGTTAAATTTCCAGAACTACAAAAACAACAGAATCCCCCAAATCATTTGTCATTATTGTCCCAACACATGACTGGTCTGAGAGCAAGCCTCAGTTAACTTTGGGAGAAATGAATGGTTTTAGATGAATCATGTCTATCAAAAGCTTTTTTTTTTTTTTTTTTTCCTTCCACCAGAACTGTGGGAGAGATTAGATTGCCCTCACATGCTAAGAATTCCAATGGRAAAAAAAGTGGAGGGGGGCTGGGGTTGTGGCTCAGCAGTAGAGCGCTCACCTAACATGTACTTGGACATGGTTTCAATCCTCAGCACCATATAAAAATAAAGATATTGTGTCCAACTACAACTAAAAATATATATTTTTTTWAAAAAGTGGAGGGCAGGAAGATTCTTTAGGATACTATCCTATGAGATGGTAAAGATATGAGTGATGGCAGTGGACATAGAAATGGAGAGATGGGGCCATTGGGAGAGGTCTGGGGCAGAGTGGATAAGAGTTTGTTCATCAGGTCAGGAATGAAAGGAATGTGGGGAATTGGGCTGAGAAGTATGTATGTTAGAGGGAAGTTGGGGGTTAGTGGAAGGAGCACTGGCTGGAAAAAGAATTTCATTGTAGATGGGCTGRAATCGGAGTGATGGTGAGTTGTCCATATAGAATTATCCATGGGTGGCATACACCTGTAGTCCTAGCACTTGGAAGGCTGAGGTAGGATCAGTTGAGCCACTGAGTCTGAGACTAGCCTGGTCATCTTTAAAAAAAAAAAAAAAATGAACAAATGGACTCCAAGAGGAAATATGGAGTTGAAACTCAAGAAACCAGGGTGAAGCCATCCCCTGTAGAGTTGAGGCCATGAAGAAGAAGTGGAGCTCAGGTTCTCAGGCTCACTGCCACATCTGGGCTCAGTCTTCTCCACATTTTGTCATGTCGGCATCTCCACGAAGGAGGAACTTCCTACCTCGGAAATCCTCTACCTGGGCCATCTGAGACAACTGTTGAGAAACCCTCCAGTTCAGCTCCAGTCTGCCTCACTCTAAACCCCAAGATTATTATTCAGTCTTAACTCCTGCTGTAGTAACTGCTGGCTTTATGGCAGACACTGTTCTTGGTGCTTTGCATTAGTAACTGACGTTGAATGTGCAGAGTCATCTGCAGTCAAGAAGCAGAATGAGGCTGGGTGTGGAAGCACACGCCTGTAATCCCAGCGATTCAGGAGGCTGAGGCATGAGACCGTGAATTCAAAGCCAGCCTGAGCAACTTGACGAGGCCCTAAGCAACTCAGTGAGACCCTGTCTAAATAAAATACAAAATAGGGCTGGGGATGTGGCTCAGTGGTTGAGTGCACCTGAGTTCAATCCCCAGTACAGATTGTGATCAAAGGCAGTGTTATGTCTTCACCCCCACTGTTTAATAAAATCTTTGCTTGCATTACATCTAGCTACCAAGACAGATGTTTCAGTAGCTTAATGTTCCATTCACATGAATAATCAAAACTGAGTTGAATTAAAAGTTGAAGATTGTCCCTTCCCTTCTTGAGCTTTCTATAGGCTCCTGCATTTGGGAAGGAGGGTTCTCAACTTSTGTTTCTTGCTTCCTCACTCCTCCATTCCACTCCAGGCAGACGTGGCTTATGACATATCTGGTGTGGGCAGAGTGGTGTTTTAAGTGGAGGTGAAGCAAGAAAGTTCCCTTTGTCATTAGTTCTTCTGAGGTTGATGGGAGTTCTGGGCTGCCTCCCATGTGGTGCTTTTGTGGGTCGGTCTTAACCTTCAGATCCCCTGACCTACGTGGTCATGTCTCAATCTTGTTGCTTTTAGTRCCTCTCAGCCCTTGGTTTCTGGAATCCTCCACTGCTTGATATTGATCCATTGTCCCTTTAGGTGGTGCTTGTAGGCTAAGTCCCTGTAGGTACTCCTGCCTGACTCACATCTGGGATCCAGACCCTTTGCCTCAACAGCTTCTGGGGGTTCAGGCCACTTCTACTGCTGCTTTTGCTTTGCTACCAGCTAGCCTGCCTCCAATTTTTCCAACCATGGGGCCAATGTTGCCCTCTGTGCCTGTGCAAGCTTTAGTGGGCAAGGCTGAGCTATTCTAGGGCTTTCTTCTGGTTTCACAGATTGTTCCAAGAAAGCCAAAACTTGTAAGATTGGTCAGTTTTTGAAATCTGAGGAAGGTGTGAACAAGGCAAGAACTTTGAGATGCTGGAAAGAAAAAATGAGGGGGAGGTATTAGGTGGACAGGATGAGATAAGAGGATGCTTATCTCTGTGACTGGGAGAAAGCACAGAAGGGCACCCAGAAAGCAGTGGATAAGGGAGGGCAGTTCATACACAGTGGCCTTAATCTTCCCAGGCAACAGCTGGAAAATGAGCCGGGTGAGGACTGAGCAAGGCTAAGAAGGTTTGCACAACAGATGCAGCGRCTGGGGAAATGCTGGCATAGGAGGAAAGACCAGAAAGGGATTAGCTCTCTAGTGGCGGTGAGGGCCAAACTGAAGTTCTGCTGTGTGTGTGTGTGCGTGCGCGTACATGGATGTGTGCTGGTCCTCATGGACTTGCTCCAGACACCAAGGTCAAGAACATACACAGCCTTGCATCCACACATCTTCATGTTCATGTTCCAGAACATAAACACGTGCATCTACATGAGGAGCTCAGTTTTTATTGATGTTCAGTTTACATTCAATAAAGTATATATAGGTCTTAAATGTTCTGCTTAGTTTTAACAATTTTTACCCTTGTAATGCCCCCCAAGCAAACAATAAACTGTATTTTCTGAAAACACATGCCCCTTTCT